TACCACCTCTCTGGTTTCTCTTGGCCTCCAGGTCCAGTTCATACCTCTGTGGCAAAGCCTGTCCAACATCCCAAGGTGCTGGGTAGCCCCTATTACAGACTCTCAGGGCATATATGCACTTCTCCATTAGCAGCAAGTAACACACTTGCATTAGAATTTAGATTTCTCCACCTAACTCTGATTCTGAGGGCTCCTATCATCTCTCTTGATGGGTCTAGGTATCGCCATACACCTAATATCTGGAAAAGGAATGTCAACTTGAAATCTGACCCATTCTATTGTTGGCAGAAGTGGTACCAGGAAGGGAGGAGGGCAGGAACAGTGGTGAAACATCTCCTTTCCTGACACCACCTCAGAAGAAAGGGATGGGAGTTTCCATACTGACACTCAAAAGGCGGACAACAGACCTACATTCACACTCATTAGCACACCATATATTACCAACTGCAACGCACCCTGTTACAACAGGGAGATTCCCTTTGAAGAGATCATGTCAAATGTGGTCATATGGCTTTTCCATGTGAAGAGAGCAAAGGGGGTATCTGGGGACTGTCCACAAGAATCTGGGGAGGGCTCCAACTGTACAAACTAGCTGTGGGCTACAGAATGCTTGCTCAGCTCATTAGCACCTGCTGCTTACAGTGACCATTCATCCAACAGACTGGCCATGAACGAGATGATAGTATCAGCGGGTTCATGCCCCAGAGAGCTTTGCTCATCATTAACATGAGCTACATCCTGTTCAGGAACCATTCCCTCTTGTTGAAAAAACGTTGCAATGTAATGCGATAAACATTTCCCCATCAAGAGTGGAGATGTGCCTAGACAGATCTGCACACAGGTGGCCATGTTTTATGTGAATCATGTGCTGGGAGGGGGTAGGCAGCATTAAAAACTAGACCCACTTGAGCCTTCAAGTCATTATGGCATACTTGCCTGCTTCACTAAAAACCTCAAAGGCCTCTGTTCTCTGCCTTTCATTGTCTAAGTCCCCTCCTCCTTCGCAAGGGTGGAATTACCTGTTTATAATACCAGTGCTTACTATGCACCTTGGAACTGGGAAGACGGTGAGCTTGAGTGTGCGTGTCTTGTTTGGAGGGAATTTCCCCTACCTTCAAAGTCAAATTCTGTTCTCCCTTCATATCTGAAATCATGCACTTCAGCCTCTGAAAAGTTGGGAATGGCAGCCAAAGGAAAGCAAGCACACTACAATGGCTGATATGAGAGGGGAGCCAAACCCTGGAAATTCCGTATGAACTCAGAAAGAGAACGGTACAGCACCACCTCCCACACGTCCACCTCATCTATTCTCTCAAACATGCACAAACAAGACATAGCAGTTTAGCATGCAGCTACTGAAAGAGTGAGTAATGGGCTTCTAGGAAAGAGGCTGGTAATGGCTCAGAAGAGCTCATGAGGTTGTACTGATAGAACCAAGGAAGAAGGCGGGAACCATGTGCTTGCCTTGATCTGCACTTAATGAGGTTAAAAGAAAAGAGTCACCACCCAGATCCTAGTCCCCTATAGGCCTTTTTAAAGGCACAGTGAACTGGGAATGGTGGTGCAGCCCTGTAATCCCGGTGACCCAGGAGGCTTGAGGCAGGAAGAGGACCCCAAGTTTGAGGTCATTCTCGGCAACTGAGAGAGAACCTAGGCAACTTTGTGAGACCTTGTCTCAAAATGAAAAATAAAAAAAGGGCTGGGAATGTAGCTCAGTGGTTAAGCACCCCTGGGTTTAATTCCCAATGTGCACACACACACACAAAATGGCACAGTAAAGACCTTACCTATGCCACCAACAAGCTGTTGGATAATCAAAATTGCTAGTATTACCTAGGAACCCTTTGGGAATCTAGTTCTCTGTCCTTTGTTTGAAAACTCCTGTGATCCAGAAGATTCCTGGATTTGTTTCACATAATCAGGCCTGTTCCTTCAGACTTCTCCTTCCTCCACGAAACTGTAAAAGAATTCTGCTTCTCTTTCAAAGCTGCTCTTCTGGTCTCACGCTCTAACTGTAACAACTACAGAAAGCTGACAGAACCTGTTCCCATAAAACAAACACAATCCCTCCCAGACTGGTATAACTCAGTATATTTTCAGCCTAGGATCCTTTCTGGCATCTGATCTGAAGGGGGAGGTAGTATGGAAAGAACCTTGGACTTGCTATCAGAAGAGCTGCCACTTAACTGGTTGTGAAGTCATAGGCAAGTTACTTTATTTCTCTGAAACACTTTCCTTAATTTCTAAAATAGAGATGATTCTCCTTACTTATAAAATTCTCCTAGAGGATTAAGTGAAATAATTCTCTTAGAAGTGACATGAAACATGCTGAATACATGCAATGTCCTCTCTGAGGTCCAAGTTGCATCTGCCTCTTTTCTGCACCGCACCTGACTAGTACTTCTTTTTTCCCTTTAGTATTTTCTCAAGCCTAAGAGTGAGTTTCCTTCCCTTCCTGACAACTAACCTTCCGCTTTTCCCTCACAACTAACCCTCAGCACATCCATTCTAACCAGTTCCTTCACCTTCCTCTAGCACATCTCCTGGGCCAGACTTTTCTYTTGCCTGGATAGCCACTTTTTTATGCTTTTATTGTACACTCTTCTATTATTAAGTCTCCATACCCCAAATAGGAATGTTTGCTCAAAACTGTGATTGGCCTCTGAAAGCTGAATCGGAGACATACTGCTCCTGTCTGTCCTCTGCTGAATGCCATGATGCCTGCTGCCCTCTGATGAAACTATAGTTTTTATGGTGTTACATCACCTCTATAGAAACTGCGTTCTTTCTCCATTATTAGCCAGTTTCCTCATCTGTAAGCTAAAAATACTTACTTCACAGGCTTGTTGTAAGGATTATTTTAGGCAGGTATGCAAAGAGCTCAGCATTGGGTTTGGTCTGCTATAAGTGCCCAATGAAAGAGAGCTATTACCTCTGTCTTTGTATTAAATTACATGTTCCCACTTTCTATTACCACACTCCAATTCTCCCAACTGCCCCCCAAAATCCTGTTGAGCTAGTTCCCTGTCCCTGCAAGGAAAGGGTTAATCTCTGAGAGTTCTTAACTAAAGAGACCCACAGAGGATTAACAGCTCCACTTCAGTGACTACCCTAAAATAGCTTTTATCCCTCCTGCCCAAGAGCTACTTGGGGATCTGAAGAACTCAATTCAACACCTGCCGAGGAGGAACACACCCAGGAACGTTCCTTGGGGTGGACTGAATCTTCCCTTAAAGCAAAAGTCAAAATAGCAACTAGGAAATTATATATAGAATAGGTCCTGACTTGGGATACCCAAAAAGCACACTGGTTGGCTGGAAAACAGTGAGAAGCAAAGGGAAATGGGAATAGCTGTCGTGCTCACTCCAACTCACACATACAACACTTCAGAGTGGTGGGAGAATTAAATTACAGGGAGGCTGGAGAGTCTCAATGACTTGCATCATTCCAAGAAACATCAAACAGGATTAACAGGGGGTTGGATTTACTCTTGTGMTGCTAGTTCTTCTGTCAGTGTAGATGGGCCCTCTTTGGAGTTCCTTTGATTCCCTACTTCCTCAGATTCCTGCAGCCTCCCACTCCTGGGGAGGCCTTGAGCAAATGGCTGCAACTCACTAAAGCCTCGTTTTCACCGTGAGGAAACTCCATAAGACACCCCACCCCCCAATCTTGTGGCCTCACCTTGGGCACTAGGGGAGGATTAGAAACCCAAGGCCAAACTATCACAGTCCCAAGCTCACAGGTGGAAAAACACACAAGGCAGGAGACAGGCTACACTTACAGGTGAAAAGCACCAACTCCCCCACACTGTTGGCCCTTATCTTCCACTTTACAGGAGGCCACCAAACTGGGCCACAGCATGGGGCTGGTTTTGCAGGAAAAAGCCTGCCCACCCAGACTAGTTTCTAGACCACCCCATGTAAGGTGGGAAATGTTAAATTCCCCAAGACTGGGAGATGGGAGTGGATACATGGGGAGGAAACAGAAATTCAGGATCTCAGGGATGGGAAGGAAGTTCAAACATGGTAAAGAATCATGAGAGCGAGTTATGTGCGTTTCCAAGGGACCCCCGAAAGAGAGAGAGATGGGGATTCTAAGGGTTGGAGGAGGGCTCTGGAGTTGAAGATGTTCTAAATTCTCTGAATTTCAAAGAATCTCAAAATGGGTACCCCCGATGGAAAATGTCTAAAGTTCGTGAGAACGGTCACTAGGAAGGTTACTACACGTAGAGCTTATTTGGGTTCTCCAGACCCAGGTATTTGATGGAAGCCTCAAAGGGGGTTATGTAAACCTCGCAAATGAAACAGAGGATAAAAAGCGGACTGTTTGGAGCAGGAAAGAGGGGGTTATGTGGGTCGGGGTAGGCGTGTCTGAGGGAGGGAGCAGGTGCAGCTTATCTGCGTCCCCCAGACCGGGGTCCTTGGTAAGGTCGGCAGCGCGTTATCTGGGTCTCCAGGGAGCCTGGGGGTCGGGACMGGAGGACCCTCAGGGCTGAGCCTCTAGATCTAAGAAGGAAGGGGGCCGGCGGGGCTTCTTCGGGTCCCCCAGGCATAGGCATGAGGTCCGGGGAAAGTTTTCGGCATCCTGGGGCCTATCTCGGGCCGGGCTGGCGCAGAAGGGGCCCCCAGTCGGGGGTGTGGACGACCGCGCTAAGGGGCCCAAAATGAGGGGCGCCGCCGCCCCGGGTGCCGGCGTGCGGGCGCAGCGAGACGACCTCCCACCCCGCTCCCCGCTGTCCCCTGGAGCCCTCGCCGCACTCACCGCGCTCGGAGCCCCGCGCTGCGGGCCGGGCCGCGCTCGGGCTCCGCCAGGCCCGCTCAGGCCCCGGTAGTGGCGGCGGTCCGGCCATTGTGCGGTGCATTGTGGGAGCCGCGCGAGCGGGCGCTCGGGCCGTGGAGGGGCGGTGCCGCGGGCTCTCTATGGTCCCGCCCGCCGGCGGGCTAGAGCGGCCGGGGCGGCGCGCGGGCGGCGCGCGGGGACCGCCGGGAGCGGGGCGGACGCTCGCGCCCCTCCTTTCCTCCCCTCTGCTTCTCCCTGGCGCGCTCCGGCTCTGGAGCCGACATGGGCGCCGCCGCGCGGGCGCTGCGGCCTCTGGCACTGCGTGCGTCTTTGCTGTTACTGCTTCTGCCTCTCCCCGGGCTGCCCACGGGCTCCTGGGACCCGGCCGGTTACCTGCTCTACTGCCCCTGCATGGGTAAGGCCTCCCGAGCTCTCTGCTCAAATGGAGAAACTGAGACCGGGAGAGCAGCCACTCCTCTGAGGCGCTCAGATTCCTTGACAGGTCCAGGAGAAATCCCCAGAGCGTTGCAGGGTCTGCGCTTCTCCCCTCTGCCCTATTTGCGAGGGCACAGGGGGCCACGGTGTCCACCTTTCCATTTGATGGATGAGAAAACTGAGGCTGGGAGAGGTTATGTGATTTACTCGAGGTCTAAGCCAGCCTGGAGTTCAGTAAATGGAGTTAGTGGGGCAGGATCTGATGTCACTGATCCATGCTAGCTCCAAGCGATTTTTTTCATTCGTTCAACAAATATTTATGGGATACCTTTTCTGTGCCAGCCTGTGTTCTCTGTTCTGAGAGTACGGAGGTGATGAGACAAGTAAACCCCAGCCCCTTTTAGAGCTGTGTTTTAAATGGGGAAAATAGACAGTAGAAGATAAACGTGAAAAATAAGTAAGTACATGATTTTTTCAAAGATAATGAAAACTACAGTAAAATAAAAGAGATCAGTGTAAGGAAGAATCTAAGGGCCAGCGAAGAGTGCAGTTTCAGTGGAATGAAGTATCATTGTAAAAGTAATTCCTTCTTAGAATCTTCCAGTGGCCTCCAGGCTCCTGACCATGGCCCTTGGGCAGCTGCATTAATTGGTCGACTGCTGTTCACCTCCACAACTCCCTTCTCTCCTAACCCTCCAGCTGCAGCCTTTCTTTTCCTCACACCCAGGTGTGTGAGGAATGCCCTCCGGTTCACTTTTGCCCTACCAGCTCCTTCCTATCCTCCAGGTCTCAGCATAAATGTCACCAGAGAGGACTTGACTAATTTCTACCCAAGTAATCTCCTTACTAGTTTCCATCATCATCCTTTCTTTCTTGAAATTTTAAAAAAGTCATCATTATGTATTTGTTTTCATGTGTAGTATCTCCCCATCGGCACTGAGTGCCTTGAGGGGAGAGATCTTATCCATGCTTGCTCCTATATCCTAGCATGGAGATCATGCTGGGGATAGCAAAAGAAATCAGATACAATCCTTCCACCTGAGGCATTCACAGGCTGAGAAAACAGCCAGTATGAAAAGCCAGGAAATGAGAAAAGACATKTGAGGAAAAGAATTGAAGAAACTCAAATCCAAGGGCCGGGATTGTGACTCAGCGGTAGAGAGCTCGTCTAGCATGTGTGAGGCCCTGGGTTCGATCCTCAGCACCACATTCAAAAAAAATAAAATAAAATACAATAAGATATTGTGTCCATCTACAACTAAAAAATAAATATTAAAAAAAGAAAAAAAGAAACATCCAAGTTGGGAGAATGCAACTGGGTGGGGGTTTGTGAATGGATCTTAGGGATAGGGGTAGTGTGAGAATTGTAGAGTTATGTTGGGGGAAATAGCAGGGAATCTGGAGTTGCTGAGGCTTAAGGAGCAGAACCTATAGGGCCTTGAATGCCAGACTCAGGAGTCCGACTTGCTCTCCTAGCTCTCCTTGGTATCCTGGCTCTCCCCATCCCTGGGTGCCCAATGTCCTTGATGCCCGAGGCCTCACCTTAGCCACAACATACCATTTCCAGGGCGCTTTGGGAACCAGGCTGATCACTTCTTGGGCTCCCTGGCATTTGCAAAGTTGTTGAACCGCACCTTGGCTGTACCTCCGTGGATTGAGTACCAGCATCACAAACCTCCCTTCACCAATGTGAGTACTTCCCACTGACCTTGGCCCTTGTCCACGCTTCCTCAGTCTTGCTGACTTCTGCTTGACCTCCAAGTCCTCTGGGCTTTACCTCCTACTCCTCTGACATTGTCTTACTCTCTACTCAGAACTCTTTTTCCCTGGAATAACAATGGCTAACATTTTTCCAGTACCTGCTGTGTGCTGACTCTATTCTGAGCACTGCATGAGGATTAGCTCATTTCTCCCACCTCTCATCCTCATGAGGAAACTGGGGTTTAGAGAGGTTAGGTAACTTGCCCAAGGTCACACARCTTATAGGAGTAGTAGACCTAGAATTTAAACCCATGTCTGTCTGACTTCAGAGTTTGAGACCTAAAGTTTCCATTTCTAGTCCTGATTGATTCCACCATCTGTGCATTCCCATTAGTAGGTGATGGGTGCAGGGCACAATAGTGTATGCCTATAATCCCAGTCTGAGATAGGAGAATGGTAAGTTCAAGGCCAACCTCAGCAATTTAGCCAGACCCTGTCTCAAAATAAAAAAATGAAAGAGGCTGGAGATGTGACTCAATGGTTGAGTACCCCTGGGTTCAATCCCTAAAAAAAAAAAAGATGGATATAATTATCAGTTTTGAAGAAGAAACTGAGGTTGCTGAGTTCAGTGGTGCATGCCTGTAATCCCAGCAGTTTCTCAAGCTGAGGCAGGAGGATTGCAAATTCAAAGCCAGTGTCAGCAACTTAACAAGGCCCTAAGCAACTTAAYAAGACCCTGTCTCAAAAAATAAAAAAAGGGCTGGGGATATGGCTTAGTGGTTAAATATCCCTGGGTTAAATCCCTAGTACAAAAAAAAAAAGAAGAAGAAGAAGAAGAAAGAAAGAAACTGAGGCCAAGACCACAACCCCAAGTATTCTGGTTGCAGTACTGCCTCTTATCCCATCAGGGGACTCCCTCAGCATGGTCTGCTTAGCATCCTCTGATTCCTGGCTTATCTTTGTGTCTTAATGACCCCATGTCTGCCTTTGTTCACACCATATCCCATGGGCCTGACAGTAGGAACTTAATTAGTATTTAATGAGTTGACAAAAAACTTTAATAGAAATAACACTAAGTATATACAAAACACTACATTTTATTTATAAAGCCTTTTCTCTGCATAGATTGGTCTTTTGTTTTTTTATACCAGGAATTGATACCAGGAGCACTAAACCACTGAGCCAACCCTTTGTATTTTATTTTTTATTTTGAGACAAGATCTCACCAAGTTACTTAGTGTCTTGCTAAGTTGCTGAGGCTGGCTTTGAATTTGTGATCCTCTTGCTTCAGCCTCCTGAGTCCCACAGGTTTTATTTTCCATTTTTCATACAGGAATTTGAGTTTCCATTTCCAGTCCTTTTCCACCCCTCTTACAAGTGATGGGGAATCACACCCAGGGCTTTGTGAATGTTAGGCAAGCATCCTACCATGGTGCTATAGCCAAGCCCTGGAGGGATTGAAATTAAAAGCCGGAGTATCTGAGACCAGAGCTTAGCTTATCCACTTAACTAATTGTGTGACCTGGGCAAGGTACCTTTTTGTACCTCAGTTTCCTCATTTTTTTTTTTTAAGTACCAGGGATTCAACTCAGGGTGCTTAACCACTGAGCCACATCCCCAGCCCTTTTTATTATTATTTTTTAAATTTTGAGACAGGGTCTCACTAAGATGYTTAGGGCCTCACTAAATTGCTGAGGTTGTTTTTGAACTTACAATCCTCCTTCCTCAGCCTTCCAAGTTGCTGGGATTACAGGCATGCATCACAGCCCAACCAGTTTCCTCTTCTTTAAAATAGCTTGGTAATAACTGTCCCTATATCCCRTGTAAAAACTGAATGGGTTAATGATGGTACCATGCCTGGGATGTTGTCATCTGCCTCCTTCTTAGAGTCACCTGAGCTCCTCAATGCGAAGAACCTAGGACACGAGAAGTTCTCAGTTCTGGGACCTGTCAGCGTTCTCAGTTTTTGTTTTTGTTTTTKTTTTCCTCACTCTTACCTTTAGATGTTGCCCATCCACCTCCCTCTAACTTGCTTGCTGTCTCCTTATGGTCTTGGCCAGTTGTGAGTCTCCACTTCCTTTATTTCTGTGGGTTACTCAACCTGCCCCAAGTGGGCTTTCCTTCTCTGCTGTGACTGTTCTCACTGAGGTCACCAGGGACCTCAGAATTGCCAAATCCAGGGTTTATTTCTCAGTCTTCATCTCACCTGACTTCCTGTGAGTCTCTCTACTTCCTGAAATTTCTTATTCCCCTGGCTTCCAGGACACCACTGATTCCTGCCACAGCCCTGACCTGTCAGCATTTCCCTCTTTGTGTTGTGCTGGGAGCACCTCTCTCCATCCACTGTTTAGTTGTTGGTGTGTGGCCTCTTTCTATTTTCGAGCTCTGTGGGGTCAGATGAGTCACCTAGGTTCTGTATGCCCAGGTTTCTTTATAAGTATACTGGAGTGGTAGAATTGATGAATAAATCCTTGTAGAGTGATGAGTGTAATACCTGGCACTAAATCAACACTCAATAAGTAGTAGTTGCTATTATTATCATTATTTGCTTTGCTATAAATTTCTGTTGACTCTTATGGCTTTCACTGTTTTCCATGTACCTATCCAATTTATGTATGGCTAACACTCTTTGATCACAAGCCTGAMTTTCTGACTCCTAGACCCTTGAGTCTACTTGGATGTCCTTCAGATATCTCAGATCATAGCCCGAACTGAACTTGGCATCTTTCCCCACAAACCTGTCACTGTCTGTAATCCCAGCCTTATTTTATGCCACGCCATTCAYCTGGATGCCAAGCCAGGAACCTAAACGTTCCCCTTTGTGCCTCTCCTTATGTACATACATACAACCCCTGTTTCACCTTCCTTTGCATCTTGATCTGTCTGAGCTGYTCCATCTTTCACTTAAATGTGTGGAAGCTGCCCAGTGAGTGCATGCTGAATGATACTTGAACAAAGAAAAAGACCATTGCAGTAACCTCCTAATTCCTCTCTCCTCTGCCACCAGAATGATCTTTCAATATTTTTTTGTGCTGAAAAAATCCTTCAGCTTGGGTCTGGGGTTGTGGCTCAGAGGTAGAGCGCTCACCTAGCACGCATGAGGCACTGAGTTCGATCCTCAGCACCACATAAAAATAAAATAAAGGTATTGTGTCTGCCTATAACTAAAAAATGAATATTAAAAAAATCCTTCAGCTATACTATCATTGCTAATAGCTAAGGTGTCTAAAATCTATTCATTGGAACTCCAATTTCCAGTCTTAGAAGGGTGCCATAGTTGAATCAGTTTGGGAAATATTCTTAATTCCTTATCCCCCAAAATTTTCAGATTCACAATGCACATTAGCGTGTTTAAGGCCCTAAAAAGACCTGCTGCAATAAAGGAGCAACTTAAAATAGCATTTCCTTGGCTTCGTTAGCTCTGGAGCTCCTTTATACAGAACCTTTTATCCATCTGAACTAGTGCAACATGTTTAGGAAACCCTGACCAATAGGATGAAGTTCAAGTTTTATTCCATGGTGTTTAATTTTTTTTAATCTAAAAAGAATACAAAGATGAATACAACCATCACTCATATATCACTGCTAAAAGTGATCATTAATACTGTCTCCTTTTTGCTTCACTTTTTCTTTTTGTTAATATAAGAAATGAAGCATTGCAGATAAATTTGGTGTAGGACAACTTCTCTTGGCCTCTTTGCGAATCCCAGTCCCTCTCCCCACCCCCAGAGGCAGCCACTCCATAGATTCAGTGTATTGGGTGTAATTTCTGTGCTCTTCCCTATTCTTCCACTGTATCATTGAGCATCCTTGTACTCAACTCCAGTGAAAAGTGCATGAACTTCTCCAGGGCAAATACCTAACAGTAGAAGGAACATTTTAATTGTATTGAATTAAAATGCTGACAGCTTGCATCCCCAAAGTGGTTTGTCCAAAATATACAGGTCAGCTGCCAGCCATGTGTGAGAGTGCCTAACTCCCACATCCTTTATTACAATTAGTGTTAGCATTTAAATGTTTTGCTGGCCTCCTGGGCGAGAAGTGATGTCTCTTCATAACTGTAATTTGCATTTTCCTAATTATTGGTGAGGTTGCACATCAGTTGAGAGTATTGGCTATTTGGGTTTCCTTTGCTGTGAGTTATTCACCTCTATCCTTTGCCCATTATTTGTCATATAGATCAGCTGTCATTTTTTAGCACGAGGGRTACTACTATTCACTTTTGAATTTGCAGATTTCATCCCCCATTTAGTCTCTGTCCTGACTTGAGTATTCTTTTTCTCAGTGCTAAGGATCAAACCCCGGGCCTCACACATGCTCAGCAAGTACTCTACTATTGAGCTATGTCTTGAGCCTATTCTGGTGTCTTTTAACAAAAGTTGTTCATTGTCACGTAATCTGCAGTGTCTGGAGTTAGGAGTGTATGGTTTTAGTTAAGGTCTCTAAACTGGAACACTGAGGTAGGACCTTTGCCCCTCCTTTCCCCGTAGCTCCATGTGTCCTACCAGAAGTACTTCAAGCTGGAGCCCCTCCAGGCTTACCATCGGGTCATCAGCCTGGAGGACTTCATGGAGAAGCTGGCTCCCACCCACTGGCCCCCCGAGAAGCGGGTGGCATACTGCTTTGAGGTGGCAGCACAGCGAAGCCCTGATAAGAAGACGTGCCCCATGAAGGTGGGTCCTGGGAGCCTGGGGGCCCTTTCTTTTCTTTATCTTTTTTTTCCAAGTTATAGATGGACATAATATCTTTATTTATTTGTTTATTTATTTTATGTGGTGCTGAGAATTGAACCCAGTGCCTCACACATGCTAGGCAAGTGCTCCACCACTGAGCCCCAGCCCCAGCCCCTTGGGGGCCCTTTCTGCCTGTTCTATGTCCACTGGACTCCTGAGATTGTGTAGTAGCACGTTGTGTAGGGGAGGGTCCCAGAAGGGCTTAGAATAGAAGATGGAGATTTAGGTTTATTTTTGGCATTTATCAGCAGTGTCACCTTGTCCAGAATTTGCTTCTTTGAGCCTTAATTTCTACCTACAAAATAGAGATGCTAGGTCTGGGGTTGTAGCTCACTGGTAGGTAGAACACTTGCCTAGCACATATGACGCACTGGGTTCAATTCTCAGCACTACATATAAATAAATAAAATAAAGGTCCGTTGAAAACAACAAAAAAAAAAACAGCCAAATGAGGAAACTTAAAAAAAAAAAATGGAAATGCTAGTCTCTGTTCCTTCTTTCTCAGAAAATGTCAAGACGGCCAGGTATAAGAATGCTTGTGAAGTGTAAGGTGCCATATCAATAATAATAACTAATCCTCATTATGTCAGATGCCATACTAAGAGTTCTGTGCGTATTAATTCATTTAATCTCAAACTGCTCCATGAAGAAAGTACTAATGATATACCCATTACATAGACAGGATGTTGAATATGGCAAAGAGGTTCAAAATTTTGCTCAAAGTCATACAGCAGATGTGGTAGAGCTGGGATTCAGCCCCAGATAATTTGGCTTCTTTGTCCATCCTCTTAACTTGAAGACTTTTTTGCCTCTCAGAAGGTAGATGAGAAGTGCCATATTTTATTAGTAGAAATTTGCAAAATTTCTGGCACTTTGGGAATAAAATAATCCCCAGATCTATCATTCAGTATGGATGCTGCAGTTTGGGGAGAGTGGTTAGCAGAACCATGAAATTTGAGAAAGGAGATCTAGCTTACAGCTTCAGCAATGCCCTCACATGCTGTGTGATATTGGGCATGTGTCTTACTTTCTCTGAGCCTTGGATTCCATGTTGGAAAACAAGGGTGGTCTATTAGCCAGTCTTGAAAGTCTACTGAAGCTCTAGTCCATGGATCCAATCCCAAGGTCTGTTCCTCCTTGGGCCCACCAGTTCTTCAGGGGTAGTGGAACTTGACTTGTGAATGGGAAAGACTATCAAACACTAGAGAATATTTCCTACTGGAAACTGGAATGGAAACCAAGCAACTCTTTTCAGCCCTCAGCCCAGGGAGCCATCCTAAGAGGGTATTTCATCCTGAGTCAGAGCACCCAGGGTTGCCCTACAGTTCCTTAACCCCATCCCTGGATAGTCTTTCCTTCGTCTCCCAAGTGAGTCTTCCATTACTCTTTTCTTACAGGAAGGAAACCCCTTTGGCCCATTCTGGGATCAGTTTCATGTGAGTTTCAATAAGTCGGAACTTTTTACAGGCATTTCCTTCAGCGCTTCCTACAAAGAACAATGGATTCAGAGGTACTTTGAGGGGACAGCAGTGGTGGGGTCAGGGAGGGACATGGGGCTCATGGGCATCCAGCACTCCTAACCCTCTCCCCTCTACTCCACCCTGATGTATGAGATGAAAGGTGTAGGCACTCTGTCTGTTGAACTTGTGAACTTGTGATTCTGTGCGATCTGTTCCCATCTCAAAGCCTGACACAGTGGGACATTGACCTGCCACAAGTTGAGCAAGAGTTTATTGGCTGATAAGGGATGTCATAAAAAGAACATTGTGCAGTCACATGCATCTCGATTTCCTCCTCCGGGCGTGAGAATCACTCCCCTGTGCCTTCTTCTTCACAAGGTGAAAATTGGAAACAGCTCTTAGAGAACAGCTTCAGTTGCAGACTGAGAAGTGATGTCATCCTGATAATTACTGGATATGCTTTATTAATTGTATGCCAGTAGGCCCTGTTAAGAAAAAATAGGTTAGCAGGGCACAGGCAGAGGCTGTGAAATATTTATAGAGCGTTTGTCATGTGTGAGTCAGTACTTAGAAGCCACAGGTAATGTGTAAAAATGAAGGGGCAGAAATGGTGGGGTCAGGGAGGGACATGGGGCTCATGGGCATCCAGCACTCCCAACCCTCTCCCCTCTACCCCCACCCTGGGGAGCTGTAATCTAGTCCTGGTGATGATAACTCACTCAGGGTATGGACTGTGGCATGGCAGGAAAGAGCCTGGTCTTAGCAGTCAGGCTGGTTAGGAGACGAGAGGAACATATGAATTCAGGCATAGTCATAGCACTTGGCATTCAGTAGGCCAGAGGTAGACAGATGTAGAAAACAAGCACAGGGTCAGGAGTAAGACAATCCAAAGCTCTGACACAGCTCAGCCTCCTTCTCAGGAATCTCTGGAAAAGCCACTCCAGCTCTCTGGCTCCAATTTCTTCCTTGGGTCAGTGGAAAGAGTAGTGACAGTATCTTCTCCTACCACAGAAGATGCATAGCAAAAATGCATAGCAAATAATAAGTGGCCAGCCAAAGTTAGCTCTCATGTGCCTTTTTTATATGAGATTTTATAAAATGGCTATTATCAGTCCCCCCACTTTTTAAAATTTTTAGTGTTAGGGATTGAACACAGGACCTCACGTATGCTAGGCAAACATACTGCCACTGAGCTACAGATCCCCAGCCCTCAATTTCCATTGTACAGGTCTGAACTGGCTTGATGAAGTTAAATAATGTGCTCAAGGTCATAGACCTGTTGCGTAGGCTTCTAGGATCTGTATGTAAAAATTTTCCCCCATTGTGGGGATTGAACTTGGGGAACTCTGCCATTGAACTACATCCCCAGCCCTTTTTATTTTGAGGAATTTGACGGTGCTGCTTGAGATTGAATCCAGGAGTATTTAACCACTGAGCAACATTACTTTTTTATTTTGAGAAGAGGTCTCACAGATTTGCTTAGATCCTTTCTACATTGCTGAGGCTGACCTTGAAATTGCAATCCTCTTGCCTCAGCCTTCTGAGTTGCTGGGATTACAGGCAAGTGCCACCACACCCAGCTTGAAGCAGAGTCTTGCTAAATTGCCTAGGCTGGTCTTGAATTTGGGATGATCCTCCTGGYTTAGCCTCCTGAGTTTCTGGGATTATAGGCATGTGTCACTGAGCCTGGCTGTGTATATAAGTCTTAAAGAAATAATAAGAGCTGATATTTATTTCATGCTTAAAATGTGCCAGGTACTGTTCTTAAGTCTTCAAATGTATTGACTTGGGTTTAATCTTTCCATGAGTCTACAGGATATATTGTCATCTGTGCTTAACACATAAAGAAATGGAAGCAGAGAGGAGTGAAGTTACTTGCCTGAGGTCACAAAGGTTGAAGTAGCAGACTCCCTGGTAACTTGCTTTCTGTCTTTACAGATTCACCTATTTGCCAGGTGTGGGGTGCATGCCTGTAATCCCAGCAGTTCAGGAGGCTGACAGGAGGATTGCAAATTCAAAGCCAGCCTCAGCAACAGTGAGGCACTAAGCAACTCAGTGAGACTTTGTCTTTAAATAAAATACAAAATTGGGCTGGGGATGTAGCTCAGTGAGTGAGTATCCTTAGGTTCAATCCCTGGTACCAACCAAACAAATAAAAAAAATCACCTATTCTGTGAACCTGTTATAGGTGGAATCATTCAGTATTTGTCTTTTTGTGTCTGGTTTATTTCATGTAGAAAAATGTCTCCAAGGTTCATCAGTATTGTGGCACATGTCAGAACCTCAGTCTTTTTAAGACTGAGTAGTATTGCTTGTATGTATATAACACATTTTGCATGTCCATTCATCTCTCTCTCTCTCTCTCTCTCTCTCTCTTTTTTTTTTTTTTTAACCGGGGATCGAACTCAGTGGTGCTTCACTAGGCCACATCTAGTGTCTTTTTTTTACTTTGAGATAGGGTCTCAATAAGTTACCTAGTACCTTGCTAAGTTACTGAGACCTACTATTTTTTTCTTTAATATTTTGTTTTAGTTGGTCACAGTACCTTAATTTTATTTTAATGAGTGCTGAGGATCGAACACAGCACCCCGCACATGCTAGGCGAGTGCTCTACTGCTGAGCCACAACTGAGGCTTCCTTTGAACTTGCAATCCTCCTGCCTCAGGCTCCTGAGCCTCTGGGATTACAGGCGTGCACCACGGTGCCTGGCTCCATTCATCTCTTGATGGACTCTTGTGTTCGCTGGGTAGTGTTTGCATGTGGTTCTCTTATGGCTGCAGTCAGCTGCCATGACTCAAGTCATCTGAAGGCTTGATTCAGWTACGTGGCCACATCTCACTCTTGACTGATGATGATGCTGGGTATCACCAGGGAGATCAGCTGGGACCATCCACAGCCTGTGTATACATGATCTCTCCTGTGGCCTGAGGTTTTACAGCATGAGAACTAGTTTCTGAGAGGGAGCATTCAGGCAGTGTCCCAAGAGGCAGAAAGTAGAAACCGCTGGCTCCCTAATGCCTGGCCTGGCAACCTGCACAGTGTCACTGCTGTCAAATTGTGAGGAACACAGAACTCACCTATGGGAGGAGATTCAAAGTTTTGATGGCCATTTTTTTCTTGAATGTTATTTTGCTCATTTGTTTTATTTGTTTTGAGATGGTGTCTTAGTGTCTTGTGTCTCACTATATTGTCCAGGCTGGTTTTGGACTCTTGGGCTCAAGTGGTCCTCCCACTTCAGCCTCCTGAGTACCTGGGACTATAGCTGCACACCACCATGCCTGGTTTTGATGGCAATCTTTATTTGACACACAAGAGCCAGGCATGGTGGTACATGCTTGTAATCCCAGCAACTCAGGAGACTGAGACAGGCGGATCTCAAGTTCAAGGCCAGCTGAAGCATTTTAGTAAAACCCTCAGCAACTTAGTGAGATCCTGTCTCAAAAAAAAAAAAAAAAAAAAAAATGGGCTGGGGATGTAGCTCAGCGGTAAGGTACTCCTGGGATCAATCCCCTGTATAATTCATAAAGAAATAGATAGACAGATAGATGGATGAACTGCCACATAAGAAAGCAGGGGCCAGACTGTACAGTACTTTATAGGCCTTTGTGAGGCAAACTGTTAGGAGCCTGTGGATGATCAGTTTTACAAGTGTGAGAGAGTATTTTATTTTAACTATTTTGTAAGCAGACACTTGCTTGCTGTAAAAAAAAAAAAAAAAAAAATTGTCCTTGGGGATGGAAGATAGAATGTAGAGTAGAACCCAAGGGTGCAGCTATACCTGGATTCATTGTATGACTGGGCAGCTGTTGCCCTTTTCTGGCCTCAGTGCTCCATCTATAAAAGGAAGGGGTGAGCAAGATCAGTCCCCACCGAGTAGATCAGTGGTTTCCAAACAATCCTCAGAGTTCCTGAGAACTGCCTGCAGAGCCGTTGTGGGGACCAGAAGSGTCCCCCAGAGACCAAGTTGGAAGGGCTCAGTTCCTCCTGTCCACTACCTTCAACCAGTACTTAACTCTCTTGTATATCAGGCCTCCAAATAAAGTAAAAGTACTTTGTGGGCCACAGATTTAAGGCATATTGGACTTAAGTTAGGGTACATGTAACTGAAAACCCAAAAATAACTGCAGACTAACATAAAGTTTACTGTTCTTAAGTAAATGAAGTATTGGAATGTGCAGTCCAGGGCAGGGTGGCACTTCCATAGTGACATCAGGAATAAGGCTCCTGTCTTTCTACTCGTTTGTCCTACTAGCTTTTTTTTTTTTAATATTTATTTTTCAGTTTTCGGTGGACATGCATCTTTATTTTTTATGTGGTGCTGAGGATTGAACCCAGCGCCCTGCRCATGCCAGGATAGCACGCTGCCATTTGAGCCAAATCCCCAGCCCTGTCCTACTAGCTTTTATCTGCAGTATGACCTCCTGGGCCAAGATGAGAGATGAAGCTCTGGCCATCACACATCATATTCCAGGCAACTTGGAGGTCAAAAGGAGCAGAAGAAAGGCAAAGCCCTGCCCTCCCCCTGACCCCACTAAAGAGGGCGTACTGTGTTACCTGTGCTGGCTTTGAACTCTTAAGATCAAGCAATCCTCTTGCCTCAACCTCTTGAGTAGCTGGGACTACATGCCTGCACCATTGCATCCAGATAGCCTTGCCTTTTTAAGGAGCCTTCCTAAAAATTCATTGTAACTCTTTTGTTTACATCTCACTGACTAGTGCAAAGACCCATAAGCCATGCCTGGCTGCAAGAAATTTGGAGAAATGTCTTTATTTTGAGCTTCCAAGTATCTAGCTGAAAGTTGGATTATAGGAAAAGAAGACAGATAATTCTCTCCCACCAAGTGATTTCTGAGGTTCTTTTCAGCTCTGCTGGTTCTGAGTCTATGAATACCACAGCAGAGCTTTAATTCAGCAGGTATTTATGGTACATTTCCTGTTGGGAGGCTGTGGGATACCTTGTTGAACCATTCTTATAAAGATACATAATATGTCATTCTCCCAGCCTGCACCCTCCCCAAGAGGACATAAACAGGAGAAATCAGACTGAGACCTGAAGGATGAGAGGGAGCCAGCTTTGCAAAGAGCTAGAAAGAAGGTAGTCCTTTCTGGCAGGGACATCAAAAGCAAGGCCCTGACATTCTTTTTTTTTTTTTTTTTTWWRAGAGAGAGARARAGARMMCCMMWATATATATATATATATWTWTWTTTTAAATCTTTGGCAGACACAACATCCTTTTCTGTATGTGGTGCTGAGGATTGAACCCAGGCTACACGCATGCCAGGCGAGCGTGCCACCGCTTGAGCCACATCCCCAGCCCTTGGCCCTGACATTCTAATGTCCCTGTGTCCTCTGCACTCAGCATGATGTCCAGCCACAAAGGTATGCTGAATTGATGCTGTGCAGAGAGGAACCCCGACCTGTTGGAGAATCTTAGCAACATGGGTGAAGTAGTGAAGTGAGCCCTAGAGCCAGCTGCCTTCTGCTAGATAGTGACCAGGCTAAGGGCTGACCTAGGGCTAATATCAGGGGGCATGGCATGTGGAACGGTCCAATTTTCTTTCTAGTCAAGACCCTACTTCCTGCCTGCTTTCCTGACAACATCCTCTGACCTCAGAGCAAATAATCAAATCAATCTTAGCTTCTTGCTGCATGTTGGGTCAGAGCTGATATTGTCCCACTTGGGCAACTCTGTGCTGGTCCATGTAGAGGGGTCAGACATTCAAGGGTTAGTTGCAGGATTTTCCCAAGAGATCAGGGACAGCTCAAATTCTGATTTTATCCTAATGATCCAGTCCCTTGGAAGATTAGAAAATGTTTGCTTTCCTTTCAAAGTTCTTTGAGTTGGGGGCTGGGGTTGTGGCTCAGTGGTAGAGCGCTCACCTAACGTGTGAGGCCCAGGGTTCGATCCTCAGCACCATATACAAATAAATAAATAAAATAAAGATATTGTGTCCAACTAAACTAAAAAATAGATATTTTTTAAAATTCTTTATGGTGATATCTGAAAGGAGTTTAGCTAAAATCCTGACCCTCAGGTATTAATCTGAGGACCTAGTATGGGCCAGGACTTTAGCTAGTATATTAATATTAATATATTCCTCCTCCAACTCCTGACAGCCTGACTTGGTCTTTCTAATAAGATCACTGACTCTCTCATTCATTCATTCAGAAAGTATTTATGGCACCTACTGTGTGTTGAGGCCTGTGCTAGGGCCTGAGAATCAAAAGAATAAGTCACAAACTCAAATGTTGAGATGCTCATTGGACTGGGTGGGGAGAAGGGAGTGAAGTCTTAGGAGTTAAGAACATAGGTTTTGAAGGAGGTTGTTTAGACTCAAATCCCAGCTCCACCAATTCTTAGCTGTTTGACTTTTGCACGTTATATAACCTCTTTGTGCCTCAGTTTCCTCATCTGCCAAAGAAAAAATAGTAAAACTTACCTCACAGGGCTGTTATGGAAATTTCATGAGCAATTAGAACATGGCCTGTTACTTAATAAGACGCAGTAAGGCCCTAAAAAGGTCTGGGAGTTGGGCATGTAGCTCAGTAGTAGAGCACTTGCCTAGCATGTGCAAAGCCCTGGGTTCCATCTCAGGACTGTAAAATAAAGGGGGTGGGGGGAGTAGGCTGGTGATGTAGCTCAGTGAACCCCTTGGTTCAGTCCTCAGTACCACACACACACACACACACACAAAAGACAGCCTTATGAAGTAGGAACTGTTATCAGCTCTATTACAGATAAGGAAACTAAGTCATGGGTAGGTAGATAGATAGATAAGTATAATCAGGTATAATAACACATTATCTTCTGGGAAGGGGAGGGAAAGGGAAATATGTTAGGATAGGGCTTTTGTTTAGGTGGGTATTTTTTTAATCTGAAGCAAAGCAAAGTTTTAGTTTCTGTTGATATAGGTCATAGGTATGTGGATTGCTATTTTCTGTATTTGCTTTAAGGTTTGAAATATTTCAAAATTTTATTTGAAGATTTTGTTGAGGTAATTGTAGATTCACATGCAGTTGTATGAAATAATATAGAGGTCTCATGTACCCTTTCCTCTTTTCCTCAGTGATAACATCTTATAAAATTATGGTAAAGCCAGGTACGGTGGTGCACGCCTGTAATCCCAGCGGCTTGGGAGGCTGAGACAGGAAGATTGTGAGTTCAAAGCCAGCCTCAGCAAAAGCGAGGCATTAAGCAACTCGGTGAGACCCTGTCTCTAAATAAAATACAAAATGGTGCAGTGGTTGAGTGCCCCTGACTTCAGTCCCTGATACCAAAAAMAAAACAAAACAAAACAAAACAAAAAACTGGAGTGCAAGATACTGACATTGATAACAATCCACCTCTCTTACTTAGATTTCCTATTTTACTTGTACTCACCTCTGTGTGTTTGTGGTCTGTGCAATTTTATCCCGTGTGTGGGTTCATATTATCCACCACCACAGTTAAGATACTGACTGGTTCCATCACCACAAGGATCCTTGTTTTGTCAACTTATAACCCCGCCTAACTCCCCAAACACACACCATCACTAACCCCTGGCAACCGCTAATCTCTTCTGTTTTGGTTCTCTACTCTGTTTTGTCGTTTCATTATTATATCAATGAAATCATATAGTGTGTTACCTTTGGGATTGGCTCTTTTCACTTGGGATAATTCCCTTGAAGAGCCATCCAAGTTGTCGTCTGTGTTGATAGTTGACTCCTTTTTATTGCAGTAGTATTCCATGGTACAAATGTGCCAGTTTGTTGAACCATTTACTTGTTGATCGACATCTGGGTGGTTTCCAGTTTGGAACTGTTATAAATAAAGCTGCTGTGACATTAGTGTAGAGGTTCGTGTATGAAAATAAGCTTTTATTTCCTTGGCATAAATGCCAAAGAGTGCCATTKCTGGGTCCTGTGGTAATTGCATGTCTAGTTTTATACGAAACTAACTGCCAAACTATTTTCCAGAGTGGCTGTGCCTATTTCCTAATGTTAAGAAAAGGGTTTTGCCAACAGAGGCAGGTAGTCCAGGAAGATGAAGCAGTATACAAAGATCTGGAGTTTGAAAGTGTGCTGCCAGATCATGGAACAGCAAGCTGCCTCATGTGGCTGGGATGGAGTCTGGGTTTAGCTGAGGAGGGAACATAGGTTGCTCCTCATTCAGTCAGTCAGCACGTGCTTACTAAGCTCTTATCTTTGCCAGGTGCTCTGCAAAGCGTATCAGAGGCACTGTCTCCACAGGCCTAGGTCCAACAGAAAAGACAGATGTGAAAAATTGCAAAACACGTATGGTGTAAATGGGGAAAGAGAGCCTGGGAGGTTGTGATGGGGACATCTGGGACCTTTTGTACATCCCATGAGGGCAGGGACTATGCCTCTCTTTCTGGATCCCAACACATAGTAAGCAATCAATAAGTATTTGAAAAGTGTTGAATGAATGATCTAATCCAGTGTACACAGTCCCTGTGAGTGTGACCCAGCCGTTGCCTCTGTAAGCAGCTGCACGTCTCAGTCCCGCCGTGTGGGTAAAAGGGCAAAGGCTCRGTCCAGACACCCCACCCTGGAGTGAATTACTGCACCACAGATTGGAAGCCAGCTTGACATATAAAAGGCTGGAATGCTCTACTGTAAATTTTTAATTGTTAAACAAGCAAAGAGGGTTGTAAATTCCGTGCGGCGGGACAGTATTGCATATTGTGCCTGTTGCCACCACTGAAGTTTCTTATCAACCCGTTGGGATTTCACAACCTCTTGTGCTTCTTGCATGTTACAGGGGCCTCCTCAGGGTCTCTGGGGCATGGTGCAATACCATCTTTTTCTCCGTGGGGGTGATAGGCAGGCTCTCTGTGCACTTTCTGTCTGACTTTTCCTCATCCCGTCTAGATTTTCAGCAAAGGAACATCCTGTGCTCGCCTTGCCAGGGGCCCCGGCCCAGTTCCCTGTCCTGGAGGAACACAGGTCACTCCAGAAGTACGTGGTATGGTCAGACGAGATGGTGAAGATGGGAGAGGCCCAGATCCATGCCCACCTCATCCGGCCCTATGTGGGCATTCATCTGCGCATTGGCTCTGACTGGGTAACTTCCCCTTCCCTTCCCTGGCTCTCTTGACATGTGCCTGAGCTGAGCAGCCATATCTATAGGAATTGACCCCAAGTCCGAGCCAGGGCAGAGAGAGCTCACTTGACCAAGTCTATGGAATTGTGTCCCATGATCCCACCATAGCACCCATCAGAAGTGTGACTCTGGAGCAGTCTAGAGCCAGCTCTCATTTTAACAGCTGCCAGGAGCTAGGCCAGAATTTTTTTTTTTAATTTGTAGTTGTAGATGGACAGCATGCCTTTATTTTCGTTGCTTATTTTTGTATGTGGTGCTAARGATAGAACCCAGTGCCTCACCCATGCTAGGCAAGCGCTCTGCCACTGAGCCACAGTCCTAGCCCCTGGGCCAGAATATTTTATGAGTGGTTTCAGCCAAACATTCAAGGAACAGCTCCTGTCTGTGCTTTCCTAGAATGTAAAATGATAAAAAAGATAAAAGATGCTTTTTTTTTTTTAAACTAGCATAACACTAATACCAAATTCAGATAAGGTCAACTTGGAAAATTATAGGCATTCTCACTAATCAACATAAGTGCACATATTCTAAGTAAAATATCAGCAGGTAAAGCCAAGTAACATTCAAATAAAATCTATCCCAGGAATGCGATGAAATTGCTGAGGACAGTAGGACTGTGAATTCTAAGCCAGCCTCACCAAAAGCAGTAAAATGCTGGTTTTAACACCCAAAGAAGAAAAATCATGATGATCTCAGTGGAGGATAATAAAGCATTTGATAAAAGAAAGTCAACACCCATTCATGATTAAAAACAAAAACTCATAACCAGCCAAGAATAGAATGGACGGACCCACCTTAACTTGATAAAGGCTATCTCTCTGGAATCCACAGCAAACATTGTTACCTCCTGACAGCTATCAGAAGTGTTTCCACTGAAGTAAGGAATCAGATAAACCTATCCCTTATCAACACCACTCTTCACTATTCTACCCCATGWCCCGTAAGACTAAGAAAAAAAGTTTTTACAACACCAGGATCCCACCATTCAGAAATAATCACTGTTATTCCCATGATTCATTTCCCTCTTCCCTTCATACTTTTAAAAAACAGTTGGGGGGCTGGGGGTGTAGCTTAGTGGTCCAGCATGTGCTCAGCATGCACAAGGCCCTGAGTCTATTCCCAGCCCACATACCAAAAAATGTGCAGCTGGGCTCCTCCTGCTTGTCCTTTTCTACTTACCAATTCTTGATGCTGGGGACAGTTGCTGTTTAACTCTGCCTCCACCCCTCCTGCAGAAGAACGCATGCGCCATGCTGAAGGACGGTACTGCAGGCTCGCACTTCATGGCCTCTCCACAGTGTGTGGGCTACAGCCGTAGTACAGCGGCCCCCCTGACCATGACCATGTGCCTGCCAGACCTGAAGGAAATCAGGCGGGCCGTGAAGCTCTGGGTGAGCGCGCTGAACGCCCGGTCAGTCTACATTGCCACTGACTCTGAGAGTTATGTGCCTGAGATCCAGCAGCTTTTCAAAGAGAAGGTATGCAAGGGCCCTAAGGGAGTGTGGCAAGAGGGAATGGGGAAAATGCCAGCCGGTCCCCCTGCTGCCATGTTGTGCTTCATGTTCTCCCCCCACCAGCCTCTTGCCTAAACACTCATTCCTCTCCATTCCTRCCCTTCCCTCCAACCCCAGCTTGAACATCTCCTCTGCAGATTCTTTCCCTCTTCCTGTAGCTTATGGGTTCTTGTTGGGAGTATTCATGGCACTTTCTAGACTGTCTGAGACTAGTGTGGAAATGTGTTGTTTTTCTTTCTAGGAATTGTGGGTTTCTTGAAGGCTGAGCTGAACCCTACTCTTGTATTCCCCAATATCTAGCCAAGTGCTTTGATCTCTGGAGGCTGAGACCCTGCCTTATTGCCACCAGTACCTAGAACATAGAGTGGGTCCTGGGAAGAGATCCAGGACAGCAGAGGGGTTAAAGGCATAGACTCTGGAGCCAAAGAATTGGATTTAACTCACTGAGCAGCCTCACAAGCATTATTTGACCTCTCTGGGTTTCTGTTTCCGRATCTATAAAATAGGACTGATAGCACCTGTCTCATAGGACAAATGTAAAGATCAGGTAGAAGGAAAAAGTTTCCCAAAATAAGTACTTAATATAGTTGGCTATTGCCAGATGCAGTGGCACACCATCAGAATCCCCACTACTCAGGAAGCAGGAGGAGTCCAAGTGTGAAGCCAGCTCGAGCAACCTAGTGAGACTCTGTTACAAAATAAAACAAAAATAAAAAGGGGCTGAGGATGTGGCTCAGTGGTAAAACACTTGCCTAACTTGTATGAAGCCCTGGGTTCAACCCCCGATACCACCAAAAAGTGATGATAATAATAATAAAGTTAGCTCTCATTAATAATAGAAATAGTTGGTTGATAAATAAAGGAAAGCTCTTTTGTGCTTAGTGAATGCTGAAGGAAGCTGTGTATATTTAAGGAAATATGTGCATAAGTAGCACAAGTGTCTGGTAAATGCCTGCTGTAGCAGTGAAGAGTCTGGTCATGGGAAACTATGGATCGGTGAAATAGCTGAATTATAGTAACTGGGGTTGCAGCTCAGTGGTAGAGCGCTTGCCTAGCACACATGAGGTACTGGGTTTGATCCCCAGAGCCACATAAAAAAAATTAATAAACAAAATAAAGGTATTGTGTCCATCTACAATTAAAAGTATTTTTTAAATTAAAAAAAAATAAGACGTTAAATGAACGAAAACAGTAAATGCTGGGTAGACCCTAAGAGGCAGATGTTGGAAGCCATGGGCTTTCTTTCAGCAGGCTCCTTTTTTTTAACCATGACACAGACAGGAAGTTCCAGCCGTGGAGGAAGTGCTGGGTCAGTACATTTTGTTCTCCTAGCCCCCTTTTAACAGAAGATCAGAGCTGGGAGACATTAGGCGTCTTACCCTGCCCCTCCGTTTTGTGGCTGAGGAAACCCAAGTCCCGAGAAGGGACAGAATTTACCCAAGAGGTCCCAGAGCTAATTATAGCAGCCATGACACAGAATGGGTAAGTTTCAGGTGTAAGTGGAATTGTTTGGGGGATTTTGGCCATGATTAAACTGGTATTATTTCTTTGCTACAATCCACACAGTGAGATGATGGCTTTTGTTACATCAGAAATCTCAGTGGAACAGCAAAGCACTTTCAGCCCATCTCAGCCCACACCCCCTCGCCTCTGTACTAAGTTGAAGCATTTGGAGAGTCCCAGGGAGTTTTTTGTGAGCTTTAGAGTTGATGCGTTTGTTGCGCCTTGAGCCTTTTGCTATTTTCTATTTCTGGTTCCTGTGCCAGTCTTCTCATTTCTTCCCCACTCCTCAGCCCTCTTCTCCATGGGCTCAGATCCCTGTCTTGCTTCTGACTTAACCTTTGCCCTCCATTAAGCTGGGCCAGTGCTCAGGCAGGGATACTGATGTTAAGATGTGCTCCTGCCCTCCGGGGCTCACAATTTAGACCCAGGTAGAGAACTGTATGTGGGGTGGGGGGTGCTGGTGGGTGGGCATTTCCTTCTATCATTTGTCCATTCAACCACCGATGTTTACTGAGGTAGGCTGTGGCTGGACCTGGCCAGCACAGCAGTGGAAAGCCAGCTGACACAGCTCCGGCCCTAGTCAGGTGCAGGACACAATATCAATCAGAGAATCACTAAGGAATGAAAGTCACAAACTGAGATATGTGCTCCAAAGCAGAGCCAAGGGGTTCTGTAAGAGCCCAGAGTAAATGGCCCTGGCCCATGGGGAGAGCTTCCCCAGGGAGCTGCCACTGGAGCTGAGAAGTAAAGGTAAGTAGAAGCTAATACCCTGGCCTTGCACAGTGGCCTATAACCCCGCTTCTCAGGAGGCTGTGTTTCAGACAGGAGGATCAAAATATTAAGACCACCCTGGGCAACTTGGCAAGACCCTGACTCAAAAAGGACTGGGGACGCTGGGGATATAACTCCATTGGCAGAGTGCTTACCTCGCATGCACAAGGCCCTGGGTTCAATCCCCAGCACCACCAAAAAAAAAAAAAAAAAAGGACAAGGGATGTAACTCAATGGTAAGCATCCCTGAGTTCAGATCCTAGTACTAGAAGAGAAAAAAAGAGGGTATACCCCAGACAGAGAAAGGTCCTTAGAAGGGGAGGGAGGGAGCCTGGCCGTCTGCTGGCTGCTAGATTTCAAGGGATGTCAGGGACAGTCTGAAAGGTGATCTGAGTACAGTGATGTGGGGCACCTTTGTGAAAGGCAATAGGGCACCTATTATGTGGGGAAGGGCAGGGGCAGGGGCATCTTAAAAATTTCCTCCAGTGTTCTGTGATGAGCAGGTCAGGAGAGGCAGTAAGGAGGCTGTTGTAAGTGGATCAAGCAGCGGATGGTCATGGCTGGGCTGAGCGTGGGGCAGCTCCTCAAGGAAGGATCCATCTTTGGGGAGAATCTTGGGCATAGATTGAAAAGGACTTGGGGCTTGGAGTGAGTATGTGGAGAGAGGCATCCACGTAGCAGAGCTGAATGGGTGGGCACTGTCTTCTTAGAGCCAGGATTTGGTGAGGGAAGGCCATCAGKCCAGGACTTCATGAGGAAGGCAGAATATGAGCTGAGCCTTGAGAGTTTGCTCAGGGTTTTCTTTTCCCTCTTTTGATGCTGGAGATGGAAGCCTAGGCCTCGGGCATGCTAAGCACACACTCCACAGAGCTCCCAGCCCTGGTGAGGAAAAGGGCGTTCCGGGCAGAGGCACCCAGAGTGGGGCATTCCGAGCCGAGGCTGGAGGGCCTGGAGGAGGACACAGGCACCTAGGAGGCAGCTGGGCTGCACTCCTCACACCGACCCCAGGTCTTCATCCTCTCCATTCCTCCTTTTGTCCGCAACCTCAGCCCTAGGGAAGGAGGTCGAGCCTGTGGCCGGCAGCCACCAGGTTGATGCACTCTGCCTTCCTTCTGCAGGTGAAGGTGGTGAGCCTGCAGCCTGAGGTGGCCCAGATCGACCTGTACATCCTTGGCAGAGCTGACCACTTTATTGGCAACTGTGTCTCCTCCTTCACCGCCTTTGTGAAGCGGGAGCGAGACCTCCAGGGAAAGCAGTCGTCCTTCTTCGGCATGGACAGGCCCCCTCAGCTGCGGGATGAATTCTGATCCTGGCTGGAGAACGTCACCAGTCACAGCTGATCCTTTCAGCCAGGCCTGGCAGCCAGAGGTGCTCTCAGGACTGCAAGCTCCTCTTCTTGCCTGCCAGAGCTGGAGAACAGTATCAGGGAGGCATCTCCCGCCTCCGTGCTTCCCCATTCTCCTGGGAATTCTYACAAAGGTAGAGCAGTCAAACCTCTCTCCTTTGTTCTCCCTGGGATGAACAGCCTGGGAAGCTGAGAGATTTTTTTATAGAAGGGGATTTTTATAGTTTTGATACAAGGTCATGGCCACCCTAGAACTCTCCTTTATTTTTAAAAGTCAGTGAAATCCATTAGCATAGATACCTAAAGTGACCTTAACAGCAAGTGGATGGATCCAGGGCTGGGGTGGGTCTTTTGGCCACTTTTCCAAGTATCCCCAAAAGTGGCCCTCAGACCCATCCCCACTGCCCAACCAGAGCCAGTGTCATCCCCACCTCCTAGGCCATGTCCAGGATTGGGGTGTGTGTATGCTCCTCTATCAGAAACACTGCAAATGGGAGTAAACAGTCAGGCACTCTGCAGTGCTTTGGGGGCTGCTGCCTCTCACCCAGCACGTTCCCTGCTCAGAGCACACCAGCAAGCCTGATGATCATGGTATTTCTCTCATAATTGATGGTTGGTGGCTGCTGCAAACCTGGCACCATGGGGACCTCAGTGCTTCACTGGGGTCAGGGCTCGTGGGCCTAACAGGATCCTCTGAAGGCTGCCCTCTCAAAGGGCCTATGGGTAGAATTTGGGTTGATGTCCAAAGCTTGTTCTTCCCCTGACCCCCGCCTTGTGGCTTGGGAGCTTTCACACAAAGCCTTCACAAAGGAACATCTGGCACATAGAAGGTGCCCAGGATCCAGAAACCATTGGAATTCCCAGTTTAGAAGCAACCTTTGCCCCTTCCCATTGAATGTAATCTCTGCCCAAGCCTTGAGATACAAGGGGTTATGGTCATGAGGTTCTTTGTCTCTAGAGGCTGCGATTTCCACAGTACATGACTCCTGAGAGCCTGTGATTTTTTTGACCTCGTAGTTCTAAAATGCCACAGCARTTGGGCTGGGGATGTGGCTCAAGCGGTAGCGCGCTCGCCTGACATGCGTGCGGCCCGGGTTCGATCCTCAGCACCACATACCAACAAAGATGTTGTGTCTGCTGAGAACKAAAAAATAAATATTAAAAAAATTTAAAAAAAAATAAATAAATAAAATGCCACAGCAAGACCTGTGGCCTCTGATCCTGGATAGGTGGCCCAGAGCTCCATGCAGGGGCTTCTCCCCTGATTGCCTTTAGGAGGAAATGCTTTGTTGTCCTGGGCACACTGGGTCAGGGGTCAGAGATTACAGGAAGATCTCTAACACCCAAGTCAGCATTTGCTGTGTAGAATTGCTGCCCGACTTTACAGAAGGCTTTTGTAGTTTTCCCTCCTGGAAAAACAGTCAAGTGTTTTAAACCCTGGTAAATGGCTTATCTTTCCAGACTTGCTCTCAAGCCTTACCCAGAGGAAAGGGCGCAGACAAGGGAGCCTGTGCACGCTCGGCCTCCAGCAGGTTGTTGAGATGCCGTGGCTTGCTGGCCAGTTCCGTTTCTGACTCTGCTGTTCATTCTCATCTGCTGTTCACAGCCTCACACCAGGCACAGCTCTAGAGTCAGSTAGAGTGGGCCATCCGGATCCGCAGATGGGCGTCGGCAGTAATCTGGTGCTCTGGAGGCAAAGGTGCTGGAGCCCCTTGGCGGTCTCAGCTCTGGCCTTTGGGCACTTGCTTTATTCTTTGACCCAGGTTCCTACCCTGTGAGAAAATGGTAAAATCAACGGGTTGTTGAGAGGCTCAGATCAGTTAAAGCATATATGCATGAGAGACACTGAACTTGAGAGATGCGGGGGCACACGTAGCTTTGGATTAACTGGGCTGYTTCTCATGCACACCTCCTCCGTGCCAGGCAGCATGCTTGCCAGGTGCTTTATGGGCATTCTCCTGTTTAGTTCCCAGCCCTGGGAAGTAAGAACTAGTATTAACCCTGTCTTTCTGGATAAGGGAAAAAAATGAATGCTCAGAGAATTCTCTTAATTTCTCCAATGCTGCACAGCTGGTGGCATTAAGCCAAAATTTGACCCCTAGAGCCAGTTCTGTTAGCCACCACCATGTTCCGCTGCCCTCGGTTCACAAATGCACTTTACCCTGTGTGTGCCGTGGTGACCTCTGCTGGAAAAGATCGGCCACTTTGATTTCCAGTGGGCATTTGCTGTGGGTTTGCCAGGTCGCCCAAGAAACAAAGTCCATGTGAAGTCGACAGGTTCCTCTGGTAGTTATTTAGTTTGACATTCTCATTCATCATATGTTTTCTGAGCACCCACTATGTTCCAGGCTCTGTGCTAGGAACAATGGTGCAGCGAGAAACCAACATAGTCTTTTTTCTCAAAGAATTTGCATTCAAGAAAGTAGAAGACATAGTGATCATATTGGGAGATATTGGTAAGTGCTATGAAGAAAAATGAAGGATTTAGGGGTGCAGTCTATTCTTTAGACAAGAATAGCTGACAAAGGAGGGGAGGCACACAGGTGTCCAGATACCTGGAGGCAGCATATTCCCAGCAGAGGAAATGGTATGTATCAAGGCCCTGTGGGGACACAGGCTCCTGAAGAGCCACGAGGAGGAGGTCGGTAGGTGTAGCTGAGTGGCTGCAGCAATCCAGTGCCACTCCCATAGCCAGAGGACTTGGCTTTAGTTGGAGAGAGAAGAGCCWCTGCAGGCTTGGAGACAGAAGAGGATACGATCTGATCTACACTCTTGAAGGACCCTTGGAACTGGCATGGGGAGGGGAAGGGTGAAAGCAGAGACTGGTGTGGGGCTGGATCCCGGGTACAGGAGAGAGGCGAGGGGCTCTTCCCCCCTGAACTGGAACCCCAGCACCCTCTTCTCCCAGGAGGCAAAGGCATTGAAGGAGGTAGGAAATGGTCAGAATCTGAATGTATAAAATTATTTTTTATAATTCAGTTTTTGAAGATATGAATCTGCATAGTTTTAATCATGCAATATATACAATTTAATGTCCTTTTTTTACTCAATAGTATATCATATTTTCCCTGTTCATAGCCTGAATAAATTAATTATATCAACTTCCATTGAGAGGTTCTCCATAGTTCACCATTTCCTTTTTTTTTTTATTTATTTTTTAGTTGTAGTTGGACACAATATYTTTATTTTGTTTGTTTATTTTTATGTGGTCCTGAGGATTGAACTCAGGGCTTCACACGTGCTAAGTGAGCACTCTACTGCTGAACCACAATCCCAGCCCAAGTTCACCATTTTCCTATTATGAGGCCTTAATATGTTCCCAATTTCTCACTATTGGAATTTGAAAAATATTTTTGTTTGTAAAGATTTTTCTTTATTTGAAATATGTGTTAAGGTGCAGGGCATAGTGGCATACACCTAAAATCTTGTGACTTGGGAGGCTGAGGCAGGAAGATCTCAAGTTGCCAGTTTGGGCAACTCAGACCCTGTCTCGAAATTAAAAAATCAATGGAGGTGTAGCTCAGTAGTATGGTACCCATGGGGTTGATCCCCAGTACCACACACAAAGATAAATAAAAATATTTATTGTGGGAAAATTCACATACACCCAAACATTGTGAGTTATAAACTGAATTCACATTTTTAATAATTATCAATATTTTACCAGTCTGGTTCCATTACTCTCCCATTCCCAAATCTGCTTGTTTACTGGAGTCTTTTAAAAGTTACCTGTGTGTTTTGAGGGGCAGGCCAGCAGGATTTGCTCACACTGAGGGCAGATGAGGAGGTAGAGGATCCCTGACTGCTGGAGAGTTTAGGGCCCAAACCACAGGGAGCTTCCCTGACTTGCAGAGTGACCTCAAGGCAGATTTTCTTACCCCCATACCTCACTTCCACATTACAGGTGCTACTGCAGTGTCCAGAGCTTCCTTGGAGTGCTGCTGGATAAGGCAAATTCCAAGAGCCACCCTTGCCTGAAGAATCCAAGTGACTGGTGGGTAGTGTCCAGGAATCTGCAATTTTTTTTTTTTTTTTTTGGCAAGCACCTATAGGTGGGTTTAATGCCAATGGCTCAAGGCCTCTTAAATTGTGGTCATAGGACCCGCAGGTGGCCTCATTTGGGGGAACTTGTTAGACATGCTGAATCCCRTGGGGCTATAGGTTAGCCCAGTGACAGAGCTTCGGCCCAGTGTTCATGAAGCTTTGAATTTGATTCCCAGAACCATAAAAAGAAAGAAAAATAAGACGTATGGAATCCCAGACCTGCTAAAACAATCTCCAAGGAGGCAGGTCAGAAGCAACATTGGTGGGTAGAGGATCTCAGACAGTACAGAAGAACCCTAGCATGCCCCCCAGGTCCCACCAAGCGCACCTTAAGGAGGTGACTTAAGAGTTGCCGGAACTGAATCCACTAATGTCTCTCCATATACATGAGGGTGGAAATATGCAACTAGACCAAATCTTTATAGAAGTAAACAAAGGCAATTAAAATTTTTATAAATAAGTACCAGTAGAAATGGGTTATGATAAGGCAGAAATGGAGAAGGCTGGGAAACAATGTCCTGAAGCATCACAGCTGCTCTAGGGGGTAGGAGAGGAGAGAAAGGGCAGAGGGAGGAAGGAAAGAAGAATGGAGCTCTCATTTCCATTTTCTGTTCACCTCAAAGAAGCTTGGTGCAGCCTGGTGGGCGCACACCGCAACCCGAGTGGCTCTGGAGGCCGGAGCATGGCAAGTCTCGGCCAGTCTCAGCAACTCAGTGAGTCCCTAAGTGCTTAGCAAGACCCTGTTTGAAAATATAAAAAAGGACTGGACATGTGGCTAAGTGCCTTTGGGTTCAAGTCCCAACACCAAAAAAAAAAAAAAAAAAAAAAAAAAAACAGCTTAGTGCATAATAATAGTAACAGCAATAATAATAAGGTTTCACTGGCTTGAAAATAAAGCTCCTTCCTCTCCCCAGCTCTTTCTATCCTTAGTGGAGTTGACAGAAAAAACTCCTCGCCTGAAGGCAAATCCTGCACTGGATTATGTTGTCAGAATTAATTCAGATTCTTACTTGAAAGCTGGTTTATTCCAGGGTTGGGACCTTTCCCTGGAAATGACACTAYTTAACTGGCAAGCAGGTTTGCTTTGTTTTTACGTCTAATCCTTTATTGATCACCAGCCCAGGATGCCAAGTAAACAGTGAGGGGAAGATGACAAAAGGCATTTCCCAGAAACCTTCCTCCCAGGGGCATGACTCAGCAGAGTGGAGGAACAATACCCACCTGGGGTGGCAGCCTGGGTTGGACATCAGCCTCGGAAAGTCTGCCTCTAAATAAAACCGGCACCACATYAAGCCATTGACATTGATTCTCTTGGAGTGTGGGGGCGTTTTCAAGTCAGACGGTGTCCAAGATGGTTCCGGAGGTACTGGGTACTCTAAGAAGGAGAGAACTAGCTTTCCAGTGTTTTCCCATCCTGCCAACATTCCCAGAGAGAAAGTCCCAGTTCAGTGCCAGTGTCATTAGCTCCTGTCTGTGCTCGCTAGTACTTGTTCCTTGGAGAGAGCAGAGCTCGGACTCAGATGGCCTTAGCCAGCTACAAGTCACTAACATTGTCTGTTATATTTAATTTTTGCTACTTGGGATTTTTCTGTTTTTTTTTTTTTTTTCACTTACAGATGTGGTTCAAAGTTGGCTTTTAAGAAATTTATTTCAGTTTAAAAAGTAGAACGGGCTCTGAGAAAAATATTACATAAACCATGGTTATGAGGTTTGGGCGAGTAGCTCGGTGACAGTGGGCCACTTAGCACGCCCTGAGGCCCTGGGTTCAGTCTTCACCCGAAAAAAAAGATGGAATGAATGAAGAAGGTAAGATTGGGAGAAGCTCTTTCAGCCACATTTTATTTTATTTTATTTTATTTTATTTTATAGTGTTGGGGATAAAACCCAGAGCCTTGCACAAACTAGACAAGCACTGTACCATTGAGCGCTACCAGCAACTCATCCTTGTGCCCTAAAGACACCTCCCAGTAAGAGATGGGAGAGGCACATTGAAGTGAGGAGGAGACTGCCCTCCATTCAAACGCCACTGGCTGCACACTGCCTGCGATTGCCTAGACCATCCCCTCTAA